GATGTTTTGGCAACAACTTTAGTGAACTTTGTTCTTTGATCAGAACATTTTTCCGAATGTTTCATAACATGTTAATCTTTATTCTAATTTATTTGTCTTATCAATTACACATGCACGACAAACATCAATTACACAAGCGGCACAAACGATGCGTTATGCATATATATGCATATATCGCAGCGCGACGCATATAGTGAGACATTGACAGCTCATTTCTGAAAGATGCGATTTTGAAATATAATAAAATCATATATGGTTGTATTTAGCGTAAAAAATGCTACAACTTTTGTCATAACAAAAATTTTGAAATTTGTAAAAATAATAAGAAGGGGTGAGGGTAAATTAAAAAATATAAAATTTTTTAAAAATCGAGCTACACGGTTATAAAGCTCATAAAAGACCATGCAACTTTTATTCGAAACATTTTTTGATATCTCTTACAGTTTTGACGATATTCAGTCAAAACCAAAAAAACCGTTTTAGCTTGTAGTTGTTTCAACCCTAAACGTGCGAGAAAGCACATAAAAAAAAATACGTGTCTCTTATTTTAAGCTACTTTACAACATATTTAAAGCTCGTCAAAATCGGAGGGGGACACTTGGGTCCCTTTCCTTGTAAGAAAAGAGAAGGTCAAATCAACAAGATGGACGCAATGAACATTAGTGATAACAAGGTATATATAATTATTTTTATATTTATATTTGAAACGGTACGTTTGTCTGCGCGGAATAACTCGCCGGAATCAGGAGTTCGGTCGGTTGGGGGCACGTGAAAAGAATGCTCGGTGTTGTAGTAACAAAATAAAATAAAGTTTATTGTGTGAATTTAAGATCAAATATGTACAGCCGTGTGGATACGGAGCGTTTAAGTACGATGTTCGAACGCGTATTACAAATTTATAACGGCGGTGTAAGCGGTGTGTAACGGTGGTCGTACGGTGACGTGGAAGCATCAGCGCAAGCGCGGGTGTCGCAGTTGTCTCTAGATGACTGCGAGCGCGTGGATCGATACGAGCGAGCGGTGTCGATTATCGATCGACTGATCGATGGCTCGGGCGCGTGCGCGATGACTCTATGATCGCTCGATTCGACTATTCGCGATTGTCTGCCGGATATAAGGACCCGATTTGAAGGGATAAAGACGGGAGCGAGGACGCGCGTATTGCCCGCGCCCTGCAGTCAGAGCTGCCAGTTTTCCCCGGAGAGCTCCACACGCACGAAACCGAGACCCGCTGACGTCACGTGTCCGTGTGCGCTCGGCTGTCGACTGGTAGAAGTGAGCGGACCTATGTTTTGTATCTCCTTCCCACCAAGCCTAGCATCAAACCGGTTTTGACGCTCGCACCATTTCTTCTGCCAAGCGTTGGCAGCAAAAATGCTTTCCCGACTTTCGCTCCACGCGACTAAGTCGACTAGCGGCGTGTTCCTTTCGCTCGACGCGATATTTTTTCTGAGATTTACAGTCTTTTATGAAATATATATCATATTCATATTAATAAAGTATTTTAACATTATGTATTTGCAGAATATGATTTTTCACGTTAATGTATAAAATAAGAATAAAGTAATAAAAATTAAATATCGCAATATATAAACAAAACAAGTAACAATTTCTACAATTTTAGTAGAAAAACATTTTTCCTATTAAAATATATTAACATGAGTTAATTGCGACAAAAATAAGCTTTAAACATATTTAATATATTATTAAATTATTTATATGTTCCAATTTTACACATTAACGTGAAAAATCACATTATAAATGCATAATATCTTTTGTAAATAGCAAGATACATTGAGAAGTAAAGGAAAGAATTGATTGAAAATAAAAGAAACATGTTTTTACTTAAAAATATTTATGACTATCTTATTTAACACAAAAGTAATCTGGACAAAGCATACCAATGTGATTATACATCGGATAGTTTAGTATTTTAACTTTATTTTAACCATTTTAATATAGTGGTCTTCCGCACCACCCAAGAGGTGGATCTTCGCCACAGGAACCCTATTGTACCACTTTTCATTTTTCTTTATACATTACCTTTATATAGATATGGTGTCGTTTGCAGACAAGATACTTATCATACACTTGTCGGTCATAAATGTGGTGTCATTTGTAGACAAGATATTTGTTACATATCGTTTACAAGTGTGTCATTTGCAGACAAAATACTTGTTACATGCCTGTCGTTTATAAGTGTGGTGTCCTTTGTGGACATATTATTGAAATTTTATTTATCTTAATTAAAAATGATAAGGGTCAACAAATAATAAAATTATAAAAGGAAAGGAGCAATAGAAATCAAAACGCAAGATTTTAGTGCAAACGAACTTGTATAGAGTTATAATAACATTAGTATAAACAGACATTTCATAGCCTGTCATCAGGCTATCCTTAGTGTAAAATAAATAAAATACATATGAAAACGCATGCTGATTTACATTAAGATCTGAGTTAAAACAAATATAATTTAGACGCAAGATTTGTTGTAAAATTAATAAAAAAAGTTAGTTTTAACATTGATATAATCAATGTTAGCTCGTCGGTTTTACAAATAAAAACTCGTCGGTTTTACAAATAAAAGATAAAAGAAGAAAATTAAAATTAAAAATTTGTCAAAAATTTTATAAAAAAAAGTTAATTAAAATAAAATAAAATAATAAAATTAATTAAAATCATTCAATATTCGAGATCAACAAGTTAAAGAAAAGTTAGTTAATAAAAAAATAATAAAATAAAATAAAATAAAATTTATAAAATTTATGTTAAGATAAATAATAGTTTTTTATTATTGTATGACCTCTTCCCCGACCTCCTCTTCTGTTCCTCTGGCCACCTCTGTTGTTTTGGCCTCCTCTTCTTCTTGTTATTCCAGAAGGACCTGGTCTAACATGATTGTCATATTGTAAATTTCGCCGAGCGTACCACCGTGCACGCGACCAACCACCTCCTCTTCTTTTTTTTTCTAAAAATAAACATTTATAGATTTGTAACATAGGCTTAACCTATGTTACTAGTCGCGCAATTGGCCACGACGATCGGCCGCGCATCGAGCCGCCGGCCGCAATATGTCACTGGAATGCGGTCGCCGAGTGGGGCGGCCGGGTATATAAGGCCGTCGCTTCGGCCAGTAGGGACCAATTCCGGTCTGCAGTGAGCACGCTGCAGATCTCCCGAGCCACCGGGAAGCACTTCGACTCGGCTCTTCCTAGCAATTCGTTCTTATAAAGGACAGGGAGCACTCTGTCCACGCCGGGAGCACTCGGCATCCGTTCACCGTTCCGCTCAAGACAGGGAGCACTCTGTCTCCGTCGGGAGCACTCGACGTCCCGTATACACCGCCCGTTCCTCCGTAGATTTAAGTATTCTTTAGTTTGCACTTTCTAGCTTGTATCCTCTAGTTTGTATTCTCTCGTTTGTATTTTCTAGCTTGTACTCTCTAGCTCGTATTTTCTAGCTTGTATTCTTCCGCGGCGTATCATAACCTTTTAGTTACTCCCGCTTTTGTGCGCTCATCTTGCGCTTCCCCGCTTTAGACCGCTCAGCTTGCGCTCTCGCTTACGCACCGCTTATTACGCGCACACGCTAATTCAATGGCTATCATTTGCGCCACTTAATTGCTTTGTAAATGTATTACCAACTCTTTTATTTAAGAATATAGTTGTTTTGTTACCCTAACTGCTCTACTTGATTGGAGTCTCCCTATCTGACCGCTTATCCCGGATCCTGACACCGGCGAGCTATTCCGCGCTTAGTAATAAGATCGCGAGATAAATTCGAACCGTTACAGATTAATAATTTAAAACAATTATACATATGAATAAATCATTTAGTTACAAAAAAATAAATAAATATCAATATATATGAAAGAGGCTAATGGAGCCACCGTTGGTTGTTAGTGCAAAATTTTTTATGTTTTGTAGAAACTTGATTCGTCTGCATTGAGACATTAAAATGTACTGATCTCAGATTCGAGACACTAAAGTGTACGAGAATTGCATACATCGATTTTATTATTCAAGAATCGGAATGTATGATTAAAGTAAGCAAGTTATTTGAAAGGAAGGAAAACGAGAGGAAAAATATAAGAGATAAAAAAATTTGCACTGACAACCAGCGGTGGCTTCATTAGCCTCTTTCATATATATTGATATTTATTTATTTTTTTGTAACTAAATGATTTATTCATATGCATAATTGTTTTAATTATTAATCTATAAATGTGTTTATTTTTAGAAAAAAAAAGAAGAGTAGGTGGTTGGTCGCGTGCACGGTGGTACGCTCGGCGAAACTTACAATATGATAATCATGTTAGACCAGGTCCTTCTGGAATAACAAGAAGAGGAGGCCAAAACAACAGAGGTGGCCGGGGGAACAGAAGAGGCAGTCGGGGAAGAGGTCATACAATAATAAAAAACTATTATTTATCTTAACATAAATTTTATAAATTTTATTTTATTTTGTTTTATTATTTTTTTATTAACTAACTTTTCTTTAACTTGTTGATCTCGAATATTGAATGATTTTAATTAATTTTACAACAAATCTTGCGTCTAAATTATATTTGTTTTAACTCAGATCTTAATGTAAATCAGCGTGCGTTTTCATATGTATTTTATTTATTTCACACTAAGGATAGCCTGATGACAGGCTTTTTTTTTTTTTGAGTTGATTCGAGGGCCAGAAGGGTCCCCCCGGGGCGAAGAAATCTTCGACAAGACACCTCCCGTCGTGCAAGGACTGTGGATTGCAAGCCCTCAGCCTGACTGGAGGTAGTGTCGGATTCACAGCCTAATCCAACCTGAGTCAGGAACAAACTGTGCCTACCGACTAAAACCTCGCCCCAGACAAATCCATCGTACGCCGCCATGTCAGACGAGGGCTGGGGATTACGTACAAGCGCATTACTCCCAACCCTAGCCTAGGCTGGTCCTTATTTGGGATCCTAACCCCATCAGCCCGTTGTTCGTCCGAGCTTCCGTACCCCCGCTACCTCCTCAGGGACCTGATGAAGGGCCCGGTTGTGGGGACCCTGGACGGTCGGTCTCAGGGCCTCGCGCCTTTTTGGGTTCCACTTGGGGTGGACTGGTGGAGTCTTCCCTCGGCCTCTTCGCATCCGCGGTGCTTGGTCTCCCCACCGATTCCGTCTCCATGTCCGGGGCAGAGAGGGGCAGTTGTTGGGACCGCGCATCCCTACCACCTTCACTACGCGCGAGCGTGCCACGCACAATTTCCCTCGTGGGAGGGATAGAGGGGCAAGCCGTGCTACCCGCCCTATGCCCCGAAGGTCGCCCGTTGAGGGCGCAAATAGGACAGTGCGGTCTCTCCCCGCAGCTCCCCGCTGTGTGGCCCTCGCCACCACACCGATAGCAGCAGTGGGCCCGATCCACATTGGAGGGGCACCGCTGCTGCACATGACCTCGACCCAAGCATCGATAGCATTGGGCCGGCCTGCTCGGAAGGAGCTCTACGCGCACCAGGGTCCATCCGATTTTCATCGACCCGGCTTCGACGAGCTTAAGCGCCGCGTCCGCCGGGCATTGGGCCCAGGCCAGGTTAAGACCCCTACGACCCGTGACCTGGACCCTTCCCAGCCTGATCTCATCCGCTTGATAGCCTCCCTCCCGGGAGATTGCGGCGATGATCTCCCCCCCGGGTGTGCAAGTCATCCAGGCCAACGAGTCGGAAATCAATCCTTCTCGAGGACCTGGAGATCCTAACTTCACCCGGCAGGTCCCGCGTTGCCTCTCTCATCCTGGAGGCCAGGGTGTCTGCCTTCATCCTCGACTTTTCGTCGGGGATCTCCAGGAGGACTCCTCCGTTCCTCGCCTTCCTAATCGTCAGGGACTTGATGTCCAGATCCTGCAGACGGATCTTTTCCCTCGCCGTCCTCAAGACGTGCGCATAAGTGCAGGTGGCAGTATTGGTGGAAATCGCCACCGCTGCAGTTCGCGGAAGCCTCTTCCTCATCCTCTTCACGCCAGAGGGACTGCCTCTCGAGGGCTGCGTCCCCTGCGTCCTGACTGATAAGGGGTGGGAGGAGAGAAGGAGGCCCACGAGGCCCATTTCTCCTCCCTCTCCTACCTTCCTTCCCCACTGTGGTCCAATCCGAGGGTGGTTCCACCTCCAAAGGGAGGTCGGGCCCCCCACCCGTTGGATCCGCCGTCGGACTGTTCTTCCTTAAGACAAGCCCCGGAATAGTGGGTTTCCCCTTCTTCTTCTTCCTACCTTTCTTCTTCTCCTCCTGACAAATCGGGGCAGGAGCGGTTCGGCCGCCCACCTCGAGATTCGCGATTCTTTCCTCTATCCTGGCGATGGAGTTTTCCATGGAGGTCAAAGACCTGTTCACCTCCCGGATGAGACTGAATCTCTCCCTTCCAGCACCCAGCTGTTGAGAGGTTCCCTCATCTTCTTCCTCCTCCAATTGGATGTGGTCGACCAGAGGAATACTCGTGGCCGCAATGCCGCACCCATCCGATCTGCCCATCAGGTCCCTACCGAGGGTAAAAGACCTTGGGTCCCTAATAAGGGGGCCCTTCGGATTAAAAGGGTTGGCCTTGAGAAATGGACCGCTTTTTCCGCTTTGGCCAGCTTCCTAATAAGGGACTTGTTCTGAGCCCTATAAGCCGTGTTATCCCCCTCGAGGGTGTTAACACGTGCACGCCAGTATCCTGGGTTCTCAATCTTATTGGCCCTGTTGGCCAGAGACCTAAGGACCTTTCTGAGAAGGTATACGTTTACCTTTATAGCTCCACTCAGAGATCCCTTCATGTTTGAGGATTTAGCATGTGCATCCTCGATTTCATCCAAGCATTTGTCAGCGTGGAGCACCATTTCACTGGACGAACCACGCTCTATTTGCTTGAGGCGGTGTTCCACCACTCCCCTCTGTCCTCCTGTGAGAGGCGGAGGACGCACCAATAGTCTGGAAGTCCCCGCCGTCTCCTCATCCTCTTCACCGGGAAGAATTACCCCTCTTCCGGGACTTCCCCTTCCCCTTATCCTCGGAGTCCGCTGAGGTGGACGGGGCCTTAAATGGACCCGAGCCATCTTTACGTGGACGTCCCTGAGCCCTATGCAGCATAGGGAGCCGATAAGGCCCCTCTGGCTGTTCCCCTCCTCCACTGGTCCGGGAGATGGGCTTGGAAGAACCCGCCTCTTCGCCCGAATCCAAATCCAAATCCCAATCCGGGTCCCCGGCTCTGCTTGGTGGACGTGGAGTAGCGTCCTCCTCCTCGGAGAAGTCGACCATCTCCACCATCTCCATGGCGGATTCCGCATCCCCCTCCTCCTTCTTCCCTTTTTCAGGAACCGGCATCCTCATCACACGGACGGTGCAGGGAGCCAGCCTTTCAAGGGACGTCACTCTGGGCCTAGAACCCGAATCTGACGAGTCCGTGTCCTCAACCATTGCCCTAATAGAGGGCACCTTACTACGTCGATTCCCCTCTGAACCAGAGGAGCCAACACCACCCCTAAGACGGATAGGGGTGTGGTCCGCCTTAATCGGAGAATCCCGCACCAATTGTCCGAACACATACGGTCTACCCGCAAGTCGAAGGGAATCAATCGCCCTTCTCACACATTCTTTTTCTTTCAGGTCTCCGCCAAGCAGATCAACGCTCGCCGCCAGGACAACGCACATATTAAGGTAAGTATCCTTAACCTTCTTTTCAGGAGCCAAACTTAGAAGCATATCATCATACTTAGACCATATCCTAATGATGGTATCCGCCATCTCCTTCCTCGTAAAGTGGAGCGTGCTCTCTCTAATCAGCAATTTCTCCACCCATAAAAGGTACCAGGCCTTATCAGGATCACACTTACAGTTCATCCTACCACACTTAAGTCTATCTGCAAAAAAGCAGAAGATCTTTGTATAAAAAGGTTTTAATATCCCAAAACTATGTGTCACAAGAAATTTCCTCAAGAAATCATTTATACATTAAAGAGCCAGTATCATGATGGTAGATAGGAAAAATTAACCCTTGTTAATACAATGTCAAAAGAAGACATAATCCGAAACATAATACATAATAACGTACAATAAATATCAGATATAATATTTATAAAGAGGAATCAAGAGATATAAGATCATAAGGTATTAGCGTTGCGTTCCAAAAGAGACATAAAACTATATTATTCAGTAAATAAATTCAACTCTTTTTATCGATTTATCAGTAATGAAAATCGTCTTAGTGGACTGTATTATTTTGCATAAACATGCTCGTCAATGAGCAAACCGCAATAAAAGAAAAGCAACTTATAAGTCAAATGTACCGTTCAAATAATAAATCAAATATCTCTCAATTAACACAAAGTCATATCGAAAAAGGTTAATATTATATTGTAATTTTGAGTCGACTCAAAACGCAAAAGATAATACTTATAATACTTAAGTACTATTTATACAAATGATCTTCAACTAATTGTGTATTATTACATTAATGTAACTATCTTAAATGAGCACAGCAAGACTCTATCGCAGAAGTTTTACATCAAACGCTATATCTAGCGATGTTCAAACGTAAATACAATAACAATATTATTGAGTCACAAAGAAATAAATGTGATAGAAAAGAATCTTAATCATTTCACACTCTTCGTTGTGAGGTAATGAGTCGCTCATTATTGCAAAAAAGCCGCACCTGACCTTGACAAAATAAAGGAAAAGATACACTCACCGCAAGACAGGCAAATGTATATTATGTTAAATAGTTCAATCAAGGCAGATTATTCCGTGTATATGTGTGTAGGTGTGTTCCAAAGAAAAGCCAAGCATTCGTCCATTCCAAGGTACATGCGAGTGCGATAGGTCTCCAAAGAAACAAAGCAGGCTATCCTAATCTGTAGTAAATCAAGAAAAGAAAAGAAAAGACTTAGATTTTCTCATAGTCTAGAAATCCGCAAACGTAGTACTGCGTTAACTTGTAAGGTTAACTCAGGCTTGCAACGCTGTATAAATACAGCCCATCCAGCGCCTAATGGCGATCGGCAGGAACACGCTTACGCGTGCTCTGCGCAGCAATGATCAACTCACCTTGTGATGTGACCTTATATACAATGGCCAGCAAGGGCCGCAACTTTTTATAAAATGGCCAGCAAGGGCCGCAACTTTCTATAAAATGGCCAGCAAGGGCCGCAACTTTCTATGGCCAGCAAGGGCCGCAACTTTCTATACAAAGAGATCACAAGAGTAACAATGTTCTATGTCGCGACGAATACACGACGGCGACTCAACTCGATTTTGTGCACGGCACGCGTAAGATGATGCAACGTACACGCGCGACGCACAACAACCACGACTAGACGCAATAACAATGTCTAGGCGGAAGCCGGTATACAAACTAGGCATGGCGCGGTCGTTCCTTCCGCATCGGTAAGCGCCACTCGCGGGCCGGGGAACGAACTGGCATACAGTGCCGCTCGTGCTGCACGCTTTGCCTTAGTGGCGAGAGAGCGCGCATTTCAAACATCTTACACAGATCAAACACAAACTCCCGGCGCTTCCCCGGAAACTTTTGTGTCAAGCCAAGAGCCTGTCTATACAGCGCATACACTGAACCGATCACAGTGTTAGCTACCGGGCTCGGTGAACACCCGGCAGTTAGCCCGACGCTGGATGACGACGCAGCAGAGGCCGGGACAGGACCTCCACTACATCGGTCCCTGGGGGTCCGAATCCCCTGAGACGGTAAACGTTGTCCATTATTATTCGCCATGTCCATAGATAATAAATTGGTTTGTTGACAGTGTGTCCTTCACCGGATTTATTCTCAGAGTTTTTACTCTCTTAGGCCGACTGCCTACTCAAGGCTTACGAGCTCGGCCTGCCCGGGTCTTTTTACAGAGGTTTTTCCTCCCTCGCAGCCCGTGATAGTGCCACCACACTATCACCGACCTCCGACCCCACAAAATGGAGTTACGGTATGAGACGCTACGCTCCCCCTTGTGCAATGGGGAGCACGACCGTTATGTCGGAACACCGGCGTGCTAACAAGGCTGGTCAGGCCCCGGGTTTATTATCGAGATTTGCTTCTCTATCCTGGGGGTGGGTTTTCCAAAAACACACCTATCGAGTCAGGCACCCGGGCGATTGAAGTCAGGGCCGCCAACCCCTACCGGTTAATCGGGACGCATCCCTTGAGGGGTAGCCGGACCCCCGTTTCCTCCTAAGAAAGAACTGTACGCTCTTAGCACCGTAGAAAGACCTTTTCAGGCCATCCCACGGTGAGCCCTCTCACCACGACAAGGTGGCGCACAAGGAGAGGGACCTGATGACAGGCTATAAAATGTCTGTTTATACTAATGTTATTATAACTCAATACAAGTTTGTTTGCACTAAAATCTAGCGTTTTGATTCCTATTGCTCCTTTCCTTTTATAATTTTATTATTTGTTGACCCTTATCATTTTTAATTAAGATAAATAAAATTTCAATAATATGTCCACAAAGGACACCACACTTATAAACGACAGGCATGTAACAAGTATTTTGTCTGCAAATGACACACTTGTAAACGATATGTAACAAATATCTTGTCTACAAATGACACCACATTTATGACCGACAAGTGTATGATAAGTATCTTGTCTGCAAACGACACCATATCTATATAAAGGTAATGTATAAAGAAAAATGAAAAGTGGTACAATAGGGTTCCTGTGGC